CCCGCAATTTTGAAGATGCAGCTCAAAGAGTTTCCTGTTTGACCTCCAACCTCTGAGATACAAAACATCAGAAGGGGTTAACCAGCCTGCACCTCCTCTTTTCACTTAATTACAGCAGAACCAGAGGGTCCGACTGAGGTTGTGGGTGGGTGGGGGCATGTTGAGAACGAGCCTAATTAATGTAGCAGTAAAAAGTGGGCCGCCCTCTGCGCGCCCGTTCTCCTGCTCGGCATCAGTTCCACTCCAGCGCCCTCAAAGGCAGGAACAAATCGCCACTCTAATGATGGACACCCCCTCTTCAACAGGACCTCTGGGCTGGTCTCGGGTCACCGCCTGCCTCCCCTCCAGGGAGCGGAGTCGAGTGGAGGGGTGTGGACCGGGGTTTGGGGGGGTGGGGGTGGTTTTGACAGCCATGTTCACCMCATCAGCGGTGAAAAGAGCTGAAAGCGACCTCGCGTACGACTTCATTAGCGCTGACAAGTTTCGGGGAGGATGCAGCTCAATTTAGACGACGTTAGAAACAGAGGAGCGAGGCCTCGTGGGGGAGTGAAGTGTGAGGAGGGGGGCTGGCGGCGGCGGGGGTGGGGGGGAGTCAGACGAAACTCTGTTTCTGTTTCGACGTGATTAAGGCGTATTTCCTGCCCCTCAAACTTTACAGCCGACTGCAGATAACGGGCAAACTTGGGAGGAAAATAGAAGATTTGTCGGAGTTTTGTAATCATCCACAACGTCCTACTTCCATCTAAAGTTCGACAGAAAATAAAACAGATGTTTCTGCGTGCATGGATCTCTAAAAGGCTTCCAAAACACGATGAAGACTTAAATCTAGAGGCTCTATTTATAAGTTTTAAGAAGGTTCATCTGATTAGGATGCAGACCCAGAACTCGCTGGAGGGATTATATATATATGTGACCAATCATATCAAAATTTGGTCAAAAATACCTAATTACATTTTCAGATTCCTGCGTTAAAAGCTACATTTTGACACCTGGATCGTTCTGATATCATAAACTTATCCAGAGATATGACTTAATTTGTCTTGTTGGTTACTATAATACATGACTGTTTGGTCTGAATTCTAATTTCATGTAAATTTATTGAGTAATTTTTGATGTCAACATAAAGAGGAAACCTCAAATAGTATTTATATTTTAAGATTTCCCAGCTGTAAAGAAATTCAAAATTTTAAGGTGTTTTTCCTGAAAGATTTTTTGTTGTTACTGCTCAAAAAATACTTCAAAATTTTTTTTTATGTTTGTATTTCCGACAGTTCATTCAAATGATTCATTGATAAGGCATGAATTCATTATATTTTGACAAAATGCAGTTTTTGCAAATTTAAATCAAAACCCTATTTCTGCCTGTTTCTCCACATCCCAATTTTGGATTTAATCCTCGTTTCGATGTGACGGGTCATATCCTCTCTGGTCCAGGAGCACCTCTGGGTTTCTCTCCTGGACCTGAGAAACTTCAGGGTTAAAACATCCAAACCAACCTGTTGTGTCGACGGTATAAAAATCGACAAAATAAAAGACGTAAATAAGACCAACAAAATGTCAGAGTTACTGTGAGTAACACAACAGGAGAGGTTTAGAAAATAAAAAAAAGCCCTGAAAATTGGTCGTCACTTGTCGGAGCATGTGCTAAATTGAAATATTCCGAAGCAACAAAACGAACTGATCCCCTCCGGAGAATACAACGGGACACATCGTCACGTTCAAAATCCAGTCTAAACAAAACAAAAAGGAATATCAGATGAAATTAAGGTGTGAAAAGATGCCATGAATGTTTTATGTCTTCCAGCCACTGACATAAAGGATATAAATATTGTATGCAAAGAGAAAACTCCTCCTGTTTGAAGTCTTGAGAGCAAAGACAGAGGGAGAAGAAGAAGGGAGGGGAAGCAGGTAATTACCAGTTTGACGGATCATTATATTAAAGCGGGAGGAGGATCAACCAAACACGGGTAACCCCTCGAACGGCGCCGGTCTGAGACGGCAACGTTACAACCTCGAGGAGCTGCCTCCAGTTGACAAACAACACAGCGAGCGGAATCCAGCAGCCGAACGAGGCGCCGGAACACAGCCGGGCCCGACCACGAGCTACCGACCACGAGCTACCGACCACGAGCTACCGACCACGAGCTACCGACCACGAGCTAACGACCACGAGCTACCAACCACGAGCTAACGACCACGAGCTACCGACCACAAGCTACCGACCACGAGCTAATGACCACGAGCTACCGACCACGAGCTACCGACCACGAGCTAACGACCACGAGCTAACGACCACGAGCTACCAACCACAAGCTACCAACCACGAGCTAACGACCACGAGCTACCGACCACAAGCTACCAACCACGAGCTACCGACCACGAGCTACCAACCACAAGCTACCGACCACGAGCTACCGACCACGAGCTAACGACCACGAGCTACTGACCACGAGCTACTGACCACGAGCTAACGACCACGAGCTACTGACCACGAGCTACTGACCACGAGCTAACGACCACGAGCTAACGACCACGAGCTAACGACCACAAGCTAACGACTACGAGCTAACGACCACGAGCTAACAACCACGAGCTAACGACCACGCTTTCAGGGTTTTCAACTAACCGAGCCGTGAAACTGAGGCTGATAGGAAAATAACCCCGCTTTGTTCATCCTAACTTCTACATCTGCGAAGAATAAAATTAAGATTATTTTAGGATATTTTTACTGAGATATTTCTGAACGGTTTTGAAATAAGTTTTTAAGATCCCCGTTCTCCTGCAGTTTTATTTCTGTGTGGTTTGTGAAAACTTGTGTTTCCTGCTTGTTCTTGGAAATTTTCATTTTGCCTACTATTTATTTAGTTAATTCAGTCACATTTTAAAATGTTAAAACATACATGTTTCAAATTATTTAACTTCATTTACAATTTYCCCCCAAACAGAAACACATCGACATCTCTTCAACTTTTTCATTTTGCTAGGAGCTAATGCTTCTTTTAACTCTGAGCAAATGCTTTTAGCTGTCGGCTAAAGCTTCTCTTATGGTGCGCTCAAGTTTTCCTCGGAGGTCGTAGTTTTGAGCTTACGAGTTATATTTTTCTACTGGAACGCCCCTGAAGTCGTAGTTTTGAGTCGAGAAGTCTGTGAAACCAGACCATACCCGAGCAGCCTCGAGCATGCGTTACGTCATCATTTCAACATGGCTGCCGCGTGCAACTCTTTACTTTACGTTTTTTTAGCAGTTCTTTTATTTTACATTAAGTCAGACGTTTATAGTGATTATTAAAATATGTTTTAACACTATTTGTACACTCGAAGTGCCTCGTATTATTGTGTTATTGTTGCAGAGAAAAATAGAAACGCTTCTTCCRACATTTGAAACTGAAACGCTTCTAACTCGGAACTGACTTCAGAATTTCGAGTTTCGATACACCTGGAACGCAACATTAGCTTTCAGCCAATGCTCAAATGCTAACATGTTAGTTCCGTATTAGCATTAGAGTTAGCTCAGTGGTAACATTAGTTCCATGTTTGTGTTATCTCTGCATTAACATTTGTGTTAACTTCGTATTAACGTTAGGATTAGTTCTGCGTTAACGTTAGCTTCATGTTATCTCTCCACATTAGCTCAACATTAATGCTGGCTTCACATTAGCATTAGTGCATCATTAGTGTTAGCTCTATCTCCATATTAGCATTAGTGTTATTCTGCATTAACGCTAGCTTCACATTAGCATTAGTGCTAGCTCTGTGCTAATGTTAGCGTCCAYGTTAGTTTTATCGCCACATTAGCATTAGTTCCAGATGTTATTTCTGCATTATTAGCGTTAGCTCCATGTTAATTTTATCTCTGCATTAGCATTATCTCTGCATTAGCATTATCTCTGCATTAGCATTAGTGTTAGTTCCGTAATTTTTAGTGTTATCTTTGCATTAGCATAAACATTAGCTCCTTATTAGCACTAGTTCTGCTACACAGTGACTTTTAGAAGTCACTAAYTGCAACGTGAAATATTACCTGCTGACAATTTCTCTGGCAATTAGTTGCACAAAATACGATTTTGCCCAACTTCCACTCTGAAAAAATTAACTATTCAAGTTTTTTGATTTGTGACGAGAGGATAGAAACTTTTGTGTGGATTTTCACAGTAAACAGAAACAGTCTCCTCTGTGTTTCAGAGCAGAGACGGTCTCTCCGTTCAAGCCAGGAGCCACCGGGCCAAGGTCTCTGGTTGTTTGATCACCGGTCGTCGACCTCCACGCAAAACACGAGGACGGCGGGGCCGAGGGAGGCCGCCGAGCCCGTAACCCCGTCCCTGAAGCCCTTGTTCCCTCCGAACAGGAAAAAAGGGTTAATCGTATTTAACAATATGCTCTCCAGCCTCCCCTCCTTGATTAGAATTAGAATCACATCTGGCTCCGTGTTCGGTCCCTCATTACTGCTGAATCTCATTAGAAGCTGCTCCCRTGGGGAGTTTGTTTCGGGGGGGTGGGAACAGCGAGTTTTTAAGCACACTTTTCGTTTCTTCCTGCCTCTTGCTCATTTCATCTGCCTCGCCGCTTCGTCTCTTCTGCGTTTACATTAGCGGAAGTCCTCATCTGAGGGAATGACTGAGCGCCGCCACCCTCCTCCTCCTCCTCACAGAGCTTGGAAATTGTTTTACGGTGCCAATTAAAGTAGGTATGTTGGTTTTTTTTTCCAGCGTATGTATAATTCACACTGTATTATTTGTTGCGCTCAAAATAAAAAGGGGAAAGAAAAACACTACAATAGGACTCTCAGCAAAGTTCTACTTGCAGTAATAATAATAGACACCAAAGGTTTTAAAATATAGTCGACGTGAGGAAAAACGACGGAGTCCAACTGTTAATAATAAATTTAATAATGATAAACTTTGTTTCTGTGCAAACTGAGAGGGAATTAATTTCAGGGAGGAAGAAACCCGAGCTAAAAACATTCCTTTAAAGCTAAATAAGGGCACCGAGAAACAATCAAAGCTTATTATTTTTTATTTATTTAGACTTTATAAAGCTAATATAAAATACAGAGATACAGTATATACAATATATATAACAGTTAGGTGTAAATAAAGAGGAYTCTGTCAGAGATTGTGGAGCTCTGAGAGGCGCAGAGAAAAAAAAAAGTTATTTTAGATCATCGGGAAGTCGCAGAGAACGCAGGGAGCCTGAAGGATCTTCTTTATCCACTCTGGATCTGAGGAGAAACAAGAAATCAGTAAAAAATAAATAAAAATTTAAAAATCCAAAACGTAAAAGTTAAAATTCGTAGAATTAGACACACATTTATCCACTTCTTCAGATTCATTCATAACATAAACGTCATCCTAACTGTTGAGCACGGAGGTGGTAGTGTCATGCTGTGAAGCTGGAACGTTAAAGTTTGAGGACTACTTCTATTTTTTTTTACCTGACCTCATTTCAACAACCAGATGGTTAAAATATCTGACAGTATATTATAAACCTGGATCGAGAGGCCCCGCCTTCTTTCCTCGTTTTAGAGGAGGCCATGTTGTTTTTTTAGGAACCAAAGTCTGCACAGTACGGATGTGGCAACATGGCGTTGCATCTTTTTAACCACAATAAAAACGAATTGCAGCTGTTAGAAAAACAAATATTTGAACAAGAAGGTAAGAAGCACCTAAATCAATGAGTCAACACCTGAAGATAAATTATCTGACGTGTTTTGATCTTTTGTTATTCCCACTCGTTTGTATGTATGGATTAGGATCCGTTTTGTTGTTGTTTGTGTGAAAACAATCAGTTACTTTAAAATCGTATATGTTTATTACATTTTTACTTAAGCAAATCGCCATTTTGTTGCTAACACAATGCATTCTGGGGATGAAGATGACTGTTAATCTAAACTGGAACCCTAATAGTCTAGGCTAAAAAGCTATAATGTGTAACAATAAAGTTATATTTTGTATTAGTCACTCAAAGTTATTTATAATGTTTTGTATAATATATGGCCTTAAAATGATCAAACGTGATGTTTAGTAAATTAGCCTGGAATTACTGTCATATTAATATATTTTACTAATATACAGTATATGTGGCGTTAGCTCAGTAGCTTACAC